CTCAGTCAACTATAAGTTCTTTCAGGTTGTTCATGTGAGCTTACTTTAGAATGTATGTATGCTGGAGCAAAATGGAAAACAAACTGTCATTTGAAACAACATGTATGAGGTGTGGAAAATAATTATATGTCCATGTGCGAAAGAAGTTTAGTAACTGAGGGAACCAAATGTTCCCAGGAATGAGAAAATCTGAGCTCCTTCTAACAATAATGCCCCATGATGTTGGAAAGCTACTTAACTTTATCATTTCATTTCCCCATTTGTAATAATAAACTAGGAGAGACTGCTTTTATTGCCATCATTAAAGAGCTTTTTCCCAGAAGCTCTGGTTACTCTCTCAATGAGATTATTTTTTAATATTTTAGCAGAAATTTCATATCATGCATACAACAGTGAATTGTACGGTACACTACATTTAACCTGTCTCTAAAAGGGAGCTTTCTGCCCCATTCGCATTATGCTAGATTTGTTCTTCAGCATGAAAAGTATCCAATATTTCAAAGAAAAAACTTGGCCTATGGCAATAAGTGGTCTAGCCATGTTTCATCATTGACATTAAGGAATAACCATTGTATTTCATTCTTTCCTTCTGGTTCCCTGGGTGCACAGAAATGGGAGAAGGCAAAGGATTTTCCCTCTCCATTTCCCCCTAATTCTTTGCTTGAATCCACTTATTTGAGCCAAGATTCTTTTGCTTACGGCTGGGAATGTGCCCAACAGTTGATTTTTGGCTTGCATCTGCTCACTTCTAAGAAAGTCCTCTTTATTTACCAAGGTCCCAAACAAAAGTTGTTCCTGATGAAGCCTCCCCAGACCACCCCCTCTGAACCTCCAGAAGGCTGAATTATCCCTTCCTCCACATGCAATAACACTTTGTAACTACCACTGGTACAGCACATAAGCCATTATACTACCTTTATTTGGGGAAGAACTGTTTATTGTTTATCTTTGTATCCCAATGCCTAGATTTATTGCATGTATACTGGTGCCAGGCATAAATGCCAGGTCCTATTATTAATGATTAAAAGATATACCATGATATTTTTAGGAACCTCACTTAAGTTCCCAGAGTGTAATGAATGTCATGAGAAGTGGATGGGCTTGTGTAGCAAACATTGCTTTTGATATTCATTTTCCCTTTTCTCCATTGTAATAGAACTCCTGATTTTTGGCTGGGCACATGGCAACCCAGAATGAAGATTAAATTTCCCAGCCTCCTTTGTAGCTATGTATGGCCATGCGACTCAGTTCTGGACATTCAGATGTAAGCAGAAGTGTCATGTGGCAGCTTCAGAAATCCTCCCTAAAAGAGTTGTGAATTCCATTTACTATTTCTTCTTTGCCCTGTTGTACTTTTGACTGCCTGGAATGTAGATCCAATGACTGGAGCTGAGCAGCCCCCTTGGGCCATGAAGTAACATATAGAGGCTATGTATGGTGGAGCATCAAGATAGAGAAAGCCTAGATCTCTGAGGACCCTATAGATAAAAGTTATATCAGCCCTAGACTTCCAATTCTGGACTTTTATGTGAGAGAGAAACTTCTGTGTTGTTTAAGTCATTCTTTTTGGGGGTAGAGATGGGAAGCTCTGTTACTCACAACTGAACCTAATCTTGATTCTGCATCAGATTTTTCTGCTTCCTAGTCAGGGTTTTGTAATATCTCATACTGAAAAAAACCTTCCCACAAAGGTTTAGGTAAGTCATATCTGGAATGTCTAAACTAGAAAATTAAATTTATTAATATCACTAATCCCTCTCCCTCACCTTCTTGGGAACAAATTAGTAGCTGTAGTGGATTGAATTATGTCCCCACAAAACTCTCTGAAGCTTGAATTGTATCCCCCACGTTTTATGTATTAGAAACTCAGCCTCCACCATGACTGTTAAGAGGGTAAGAAATCCTATTATGGTAATTGGAAGGTGGAGCCTTGAAGAGGTGATTAGATTGTAGGACCATGCCATAGTGAATGGATTAAAAATGGTGGTCAGGGGTGTGGTTCTGAGACCTTTAAAAGAGTAAGAGAGTCTGTCTCTCTCTCTCTGCTCTCTCTGTTCCCACCATCTTGCAATGTGAGACCTCTGGTTCACTGTTGCCACCACCAGATGAACTTTGGACTGACTTCCCAGCCTCAGAAACTGCAAGCAATAAATTTCATTTTTCTTTATAAATCACCGAGTCTCAGGTATTTTGTTATAAGCAACAAAAATGGACTAATACAGTAGCTTTCATTATTGAACATTGACTGTATGCCAGATACTATTCTGTGCTTCACATACATGATTTTATTTAAATTAGTAAAAACCTTATGAGGTAGGGACTTTCATCTTCTTCACATTGGAGATGCTAAGTTAACAGCTAGTGAGTGATCAAAGCAGACCCAGAGGCAGGGCTGACTTCCCTCCAAGCTCACGCATTAGCTACTACTGGACACTTGCTGCAGGGAGGGGCGTAGGAGGCACCCTTTCTCTGTCCACCAAAGGGCTTTACTTGCGAGTCCATTGAGCACCAATGCTGCAAATGCAGGTTATCAGGGTATAGAATTTTGTGATTAGCAAGGTAACCATTGAGTACACCCGAGGAGAGTAAGGAACTAGTGAGGGAGGAGCTTGTCTGCTGACCTCTCTATACAGAGCCAGAGGCTAGAGAAACTCACCTCTTCATGAGTAAGTCAGGGAGTTGGGGTGGGTGAGGAGAGAATATGGGATTGAGTGGAGTCTCACAGCACAGGCAGAGCTGGACAAGTCTGCCTACAGCCTAAAATGACTTCATCCATGGAACCAAGGTCAGACATAATGACATGGGTACACAGAAACCATACAGCCAGTTTCATATTTGAACATTAGAGTCAAATACCCACAATTCATATTTAACATGAAAGGCATTCAGAAAAAAATGTTTTATACATTTTGCTACTCTGTCCTCAATGACAACACCCCATTCATACTGAAAGAGTAATTAATTCCCTTTTATTATCTATGGTATAAACACTCGTTCATTCAAGAAATATATATTGAGAGACTAACTATGTGCAGGGGCTGTGCTAAGCAGGAAATGGAACACTCAGTGGTATGAGGCCCTCCAGGATGGCACACTTAGGTGGGGAGACCTACCTATAAAAAGATGCTTATAGCGTAATGTGCTGTGTGCCATATGGAGGTTTCTAGAGGGTTGGGTGGAACTTACATGAGAAAGATCCCACCTTGGGGTCACGGAAGATCTCCAAAATGATGAACCAGGATTGAGGGATAATTTTACATCCCTCAAAACAGAAAGAAAAAAAAAGTAATTCATGCCAGTTATAGAGGCAAAAGCCCCTGTTAGGCAGCCCATCATAGCCTTAGGACACTATTTATGTTAGAGAATCATGAGTCATACTTATAAAAATCACCTTGACACATCAAGAATAGAATTAGTTATGTTCTGTCTACTCTGTTTATTAAGGCAAGGCATAGAAGAATAAAAGCACTTTTTCTCTAAGATTTTCTGATCCTCCCCCAAAAAGTCTTCTTTTAATAACAAATTGGCAATTCAATGACATGGGAAAAAACACCATGTTCTTAAAAATGATAGATCAAAGGAATTTTTTAGCAAGAAGAATTCTCCTTCATGACACATTATCATTGTTCCCCGGACGAGCAGAACTGGACTTTTCTTTCTATCAAACATTGATTCAATTATACAGTATCTGAGAAAGCATCCAGGTATAGAATCACATGTTTGGTGCAAGGAGTCAGTTTATTCCAAATCCCAGTTCTACCTCCAAACTAGCTATGTGGGCCTGTTTCCTACTACACACAATAAGAATAATGATACCTATCTTGCATGGTTGTTGGCCTCAATTATATAATATAAAAGCACCTAACTTAACATTTGACATACACAAGGTCTCCATTGATGGCAGCCATCACGTCTAGTTGTGGCTGCTATTGCCATCATTCTGTTCCAGGAATTCCAGGATGTTGTTCTGGAGAGGCAAAGTTGCTATAGAACCATTTTTCAAGCAGAGGTGGACAATCTCATATAGCTCATTTGAATCTTCTGTGGCCTTCTGGATGAGCAGTGTGACCCAAAGTGCTATGACTAAGAGATGAGTCCTCTACAGTGTGTCAAAATCATGATTTAACAGTACTTTATTCGGGAACAAGAATTCCATGAAAACATATTAGTGGGTTGGAAATGATTTCAAGTGGTTGTTAGATCTAGCAAGGCACTCCCACTTCCAGTGTGTCAGAGCCCATTAGAATCATTTAAACTGATGAAGTGCAGTCTGTGGCTAAGGCAGTTGATGTGATCAACCCAGCCTCCAACATGCCCTGGAGGGACCCAAACCATTCAACAGTTGGATCTTTAGGGAATCCAAACTATTCAATGGTGTTTAACACTTATCAGAGACATGTAGAAATTAATTATGACCATTATGCAACTTCTTCACCTAAAACATTTCTACAGCTTGATTCTCTAAATCATAAATACTTTCCGAAGCGAGTTTGCTCAGACTTTCCAAAATATTTCTTCTTTTAGCCATGATTAAGCATGAAAAATTTCCTCCCAGCTGGGAGAATATTAGAGAAAAGTAAGCTATGTATTGAAAAGGATACATAAAAAAGCCCTTAGACATTTTTCTCTACTCAAGAACACCTTCAAAGTACATGAGGGCAAAAAGTCGATGGGTTCAGGGTTGGGGAGAAAATGGGGGAGGATGGAAAATAGGCATATGTCACCAAGAACTCAATCGTCCAAATAGGAATTTGTTCTCCTTGGTTAGCCTGAGCTTAGCTCTATAGCTAACTGCACTTGAAATGAGACAGGTGAAGTTTTGATTACCAGATACGGTATGTGTTACAAGAAAATAAACCTCAAATTTGTGAAAGAAACAGTTAGGTGAGGGGAAGAGATTGAAAACAGTAATCAACATTTAGTGACTGACCTCTGGGAGAACTTACTGAGATGGCCCAAGCTGGTAGTAGCTGGTGCAGGGGCTAATGGGCCAAGTTCATTCATTTTGTGTTATCTTTGCAGTGGTTGGGAGAAAACAAAAACTTTGGCAAGACCAAGCATCCACCTCTTGGTACCTGAGAATGGAGCAAAGAAAGAGAATCCTGAACAGAAGGTGGAAGCAGAGAAAGTCTTAAAATATGTATGGCTTGATTTGGTTACCTCACGGGAGGCACAGTGAAAAGGAGAGGATGTCAAATGACATTTACTGAGAGGTCATTTACTGAGAGACATTTACCCTAAGGTCCTAGAAGGAAGGGGCCCCACCTGTCTTGTTCACCAATGTGTTCCCAGGTCCTAACACAGGCCCTGACATGCAGCAGATACTCATACATATTTGCTGAAGGAAGGAAGGACTGACATGGCACAGATCTCATTAAATAGTGGGCACTAAGTAAATATTTTTGGAAGACTCAGTTAGTTAATGAATACCTGCTGTATACCAGCCATTGTTTCATGGTTTCACTCCATTTACAAATTTGTTTCAGCGAGCTCCTATCTTTTGCTAGACATTCTACTGAACACTGAGAACTCAAAAAAGAGTTCCTGCCCTCGAGGGGCTTATAGTCTAGAGGAGACAGGCAAGCAATAGCAATGCAATACGAGGGGTCTTCGAAGCATTCATGGAGAGATTCGTGTTATCTTTAACTTCCATTTTTCCATGAACTTTTGGAAGCATGTATAATGACCACAGGCCATATGAAAGTCTAGGAAAACAAAGGAGAAGAGCATCTCAGTTTTTCTGGGAGAGCTGAGGCAGTCTCTACAGAGGGGACAGTCTTCCAACAAATGAGCAGAGCTTTCCAGGCATTTCAGGCAATGAGGGCAGTGTGAGAGAAAACTGCAAGTAGCTCATACATGCAGGAGCAACAACTTCTGTGGGACAAAGAAGGTGGGAGAGTGATTGGAGAAAGGAAAGAGATGAGGCTTGGGCCTAATCATAACAGGCCGAGTATTTCATTCGAAGCGGCTAGAAGTCACGCTATAGGAAATAGGAAACAGGACCACCTTCCTGGGCATGTGACCTGGGCGTGAGCTTGCACAAGACCCCCCCACCGCCAGAAGGGCCTCACATTTGGTTGCATGCTCTGCTGTCGAGGCCTCAAAATACTTGATCTTTCTATCTTTAGACTCGTGCTTTGTAAGTGAAGTCCAACGGGACGTGGAGCATGCCCATGAGCAGAGGTGTGTGCAATAGGCCTGTCGCATTTTCTTGCCGCTTCATTTGCAGACAGTGTTCATGATGCTCCATGAGCACAGGATTCCAGTGGACCTACTATGTGTGGGAGTTTAGTGAGATTCAAAGCAAACATAAGGTCAGCATATTACAGAAGCCGCCACCTCCTATTGCGTCTCAATAGAATGTATCATATCAAGAAGTGAAATGAAACAGTTGGGTTAGTTTTGTGCAGTATTTCTGCTGTTCTGGTAAGAATGAAATACAATGGACTAAAAATATAAATTGTAAGGGCTGGCCTGTGGCTCACTAGGGAGAGTGTGGTGCTGATAAAAATATGAATTGTATAACTTCAGTTGATTCCACATATGAGTTTCATGATCTTATATTTTCTTTCTTTTTTTTTTTTTAAAGATGACCGGTGAGGGGATCTTAACCCTTGACTTGGTGTTGTCAGCACCATGCTCACCCAGTGAGCTAACCAGCCATCCCTATATGGGATCCGAACCCATGGCCTTGGTGTTATCAGCACCGCACTCTACCGAGTGAGACACAGGCCAGCCCCATGATCTTATATTTTCATTTAAAACTGGCATTGCACAATATAAAGATGAACAGTAAAGTTTACGCTAATAATTTATAATTTGAATTTTTTTTACTTAGAACAACACTAAGTAGTAAAAAAACCACACTGTAAGTTGAGAGAGACTATGAAAAAAGATAAAAGCTTTGTACTTCAGTACATCTACTGGCACTTTCCCCTTGCTTTCTGAATATTTTACACAGAGCCCCACAAATGATGCTGCTGGCCTTGATGGGGAGCCATTTAAAAATCTTAAGCAGGGAAGAGACACAAGACTATCATTTTGGAGTAATAACTCTCACCAGAGTGTGGAAGTTAGAGTAAAGGCAACAAGAAGACCAACCATCAGGGGCAGCACAGACAAAGTGGGGTGAGGTCTATGCTACAGCAGGGACAAAGGGGAGAAGAAAAAGGGGTAGGTGAGTGGGCAGAGTACTAGGGCTTGGTGATTCATTGCAAGTGGGAGATGAGCAAGACGGAGTTAGATAGCTTGACTCCTAGATTTCTGGCTTCAGCCATTGGGTGATGCCTTCCACTGAGATGTGGAGTAGGATGAGGAGGGTCGGGATAAGTGAGAGAAGAGGCACGGGTTGAAGGTGGTTGTTCTGGGACATGGGGTAGACTTGTCATGTTTGGGTCTGTGCATTACCTCTGCCCATCCCTCTTCTTCTAGTAACAGACCCCTTCTGGCCTCAGGGATGTGGCCCTGACCTAGGTTGGGCCCATCATGGTACCTGGTGGTATTAAACACACACGGCCACAGCTAGTGGTCCAAAGAGTCAGTGTCCCCCTTTCCTCTCTCACCAGAAGTGAGCCTCCAGCTGCCAAATGACATGGTTCTAGTGACCCTGAAACTCAGGTCAGAGAGAATGAAGGCAACATGGAGAGAAGTGTTTGAAGAGCAGTGGAGAAAGAGCTTTGCAGACAGTTCCCATCTTCACTCTGCCCTTCCTGGATACACAATCCTAGAAATCCAGTCTGGCCCACCTCAACCCACTGCCCCCAACCTTAGGCTAGCTGGAGTCAGGTTCCTGTCATTTGTAACTGAGAGAATCCTGGTTAGTATGGACACATAGGTAGGTGCCCATGGAAATAGCATGTGGGACGTATTATGCCCATATCATAGAGAAGTGAACTGAGGCTCAGAAAGGTTAAATAACTTGCCCGTAGTCTCATGGCTGGCCAACTACAATGTCAGGGCTGGAATGCAGTTCTGTATAACTCCAAAGCCAATGACCTTTCTACAGGGTCAGACTTTCCTCCTAACGTGTTCATTATTCTTAGCACTGTCTTCTACAATCCCAAGCTTTCAATTTTAGGGATATTCATGCTACTATTCTTCTGAGTTTCTTGCTTAATGACCAAACATTATGAGGGCCAAACCATGATTTTTCTGGAGTGTTTCCCAGGGTCTGATTATTCTCACTTTAAAAGTCACTAGTAGCAGAGGGACTCGTTGCTAATTTTGTAGAAGTTGAAAGTCAGTGGCCTTTTGACTGAAACATTATTTTCCTAAACTTTGTCTTGATTTATGAGCTCAAATGGAAAGTCAAGTCTAAATTCCAGGCAGGAGTCCCAAGGAGGTGATAATAAACTGGACCCACAGCCTCAGAACTTCAGAACAATCCTTCTGACCTTCTCTTAGGCCTGCTTCTCTGTTTTATCGTTTTATTTTTGTGTCCTCTTCTTTTTTTACCTTCTGTTCTATTAACTCAAACACATTCTAAAGAGAATTTTTTCTGACTCATTCTGGAGAACTGTGGCAGAGACCACTGTTCTTGAGTTGTATTCCCACCTTTTTTGTCCAACAATAGAACCCTGGATTTGTTAATATTAATTTCTTTTTTTTATTAAGCTGTAATTCACACATCATAAAATACACTGTTTTAAAGTGTACAATTCCATGGTTTTTAGTAGATTCATGAGGTTGTGCAACCATCACCACTGTCTAGTTCCAGAACATTTCATCATCCCAAAAAGAAAACAAATGCTGTTAGCAGTCACGCCCCACTCCCTCCTCCCTCCAGCTCCTGACAACAACTCTGCTGCTTTCTCTCTCTGTGGATCTGCTTTTTCTGGACATTTCATATAGTTGGAGTTATATAATATTTGGATTTTTGTGTCTGGCTTCTTTCATTTAGCATATGATTTCAAGGTTCATCCACATTGTAGCAATGTATAAATATGTACTTCCTTCTTTATCCAGACAATATTCCATTGTCTGTGTATATGATAATACTACATTTTGTTTATCTATCAACTGATGGACATTTGGGTTGTTTCCCACTTTTTGGCTGTTGTGAATAGTCCTGCTATGAACACTCATGTACAAGTTTTTGTGTAGACAGATGTTTTCAATTCTCTTGGGTATATACTGGGAGGGATTTGCTGAGTCATATAAGTTTATCTTTAACTTTTTGAGAAACTGCCAAACTATTTTCCTCAGTGGTTGTACCATTTTAATGTTCCCGCCAGCAATGTATGAGGAGAACTCGATTCTCAGCTGGGCATACTGAGCCTAGAAAAAGGTCAGTTTTCCAGCTTCCCTTGTGGCTATGTGTGGCCATATGACTAAGTCCTGGCTTATGGAATGGCACGAAGCAGAAGTGGTGTGTGCAATTTCTGGTGAAAACCTGTCCTCCTCTGCTGCTTTCTCCAGGCTGCTGGTTGGAAAGCTGACTTAATGACTGGAAGGCAAGCAGCCACGTTGGGCCATGGAGTGTCTTTGGGAAGGGAAGCCAGAACACAGGATAGAAGGAATCTGTGACTGACACTATGGAGGCTGTGCTAGCCCTGAAATGACCACCTCTGGACTTCTTGAATACTAGAGAGAAATAAAATTTCTATCATGTTTTAGACACAATTATTTTTTCTTATTAGCTACAGCCAAATCTAACCCTAACTGAGTTCCTTTATTCACTGAGAAAATTTTTACTGAAAGCCAATTAAAAGCCAGATCCTAAGCTTGGCAATAAAGAAATAAAGACATGAGAGAGAAGGATCTTATAATTTAGGGGCTAACAGGTGAGTCGAGAGAGAGGCACTCAAATAAATAAGGCATGGCATAATTGCTAATAAAAGCATGTACCAAATCCCATAGGTGGATGGAAGATAGATGAAATTGACCTAAAGCAATTTAGGGAAGGTCTTAGTTTAGCCTATGTGCCCTCAGTGGTGTTTCTAAATTCCTAACAGATATTCCTCTTTGAAATTTGGGAACAAGAAACCAGAATTCTTGGGAAATCTCAAGAATTCCTAATAACATAAGCTATTCTTAACATACTTCCACTATCATATACTTTTTACTTATCATTATG